CCTTTTTAATTTGCTTCTCTTTAAAAATTTTTTTAATTTATTTTTTAAATTGGAGTATAATTAACCTACAGTATTATATTAGTTTCAGGTGTACAGAATAGTGATTCAACAATTCTATACATTACTCAGCACTCATCTTGCTAAGTGCCCTCTTAATGCCCTTCCCCTATTTCACCCGTCCCCCCACTCACCTCCCTTCTCGCAACTATCAGTTTGTTCTCTATATTTAAGAGTTTGGGGGTTTTTTGCTTGTCTCTTTTTTTCTTTGTTTTGTTTCTTAAATTCCACATATGAGTGAAATCTCTTTCTCTGAACTGACTTATTTCACTTAGCATTATTCCCTCTAGCTCCACACATGCTGTTACAAATAGCAAGATTTTGTTCTCTCTTATGCCTGTTTTTTTTTTTTTTTCATGTTTTATTTGTTTTTGAGAGAGAGAGAGAGTGCGAGTACTATAGGGGAAGAGAGAGAGGGAGACAGAGGATGTGAAGCAGGCTCTGCGCTGACGGCAGTGAGCCTGACGCAGGGCTGGAACTCACGAACCTCGAGATCGTGACCTGAGCCGAAGTCCACGCTCAACTGACCGAGCCACCCCGGCGCCCCTGTAGCTGTTCTTGATAGTGAAATTGGAGTTTGGTTAAGTACCATGACTTGACAGAGGGGGGACAATTCTGGTCTCGAGCTCTTGATCTTACAAAGTAACTTCCCAATGCAAATATAATGTAAGCTACATATGTAACTTAAAATTTTCTGAGTAGTCATATGAAAAAAGTAAAAAGAAACAAGAGATTTTAATGGTAATAATGTCATTCAACTCAAATATCTAAATATTTTTCATTTCAGCATTTCAGCATGTAATCAATATGAAAATTATTAAGGAGATATTTTATATTTTTTGTACTAAGTCTTTGAAATCTGGTGTGTATTTATGCTCATAGTGCCTCTGAATTTGGGTGAGCACATTTCATATGGTCAAGGGCTACATACGGACAAGAAGTTACTGCATGAGACAGAGCAATTATAAAGAAAGCATGGCAAAATTTTGGAGAGCGTCCAGCCTGACTTGTATTTGCAGAAAAGTTAAGTACATATTCTGAGGTTATACAACCAGTTAGTAAAAGAGGCAGGATTAGAATCCAATTATTCTTACCCTACCGTATGCTCTTATTTTCAAAGCTGATTAGCAACAAAGCCAGACTAGAACTCGCACCTCCTCCTTCCTGCTTACATCTGCTCTGGGCCTCTCTTTTCTACCAGGCATAGCCTAGAGGCAAGAGGCCTTTCTACCTGTCTTTTCTCCTAAATAAACTAACAGCTTCACTGAAAACAATTTGGCCGCAAACCAAGGCCAGAGGGGGGTCGAATTTTTCCATATCCTTCCACCAGATAATACTGTTTTTTTATGACTTGTCACCCTTGTCCCCAGAAACTGTTAGTTTCACCAAGCTACTTAAAAACGGATTCCTTTACGCAACAGTTCTCAATGGAGGTGTCCATCGGAATCACCTGTGGAGCTTCAAAAGAATTCAAATCACTAGTCCCCTGCTCCAAATCCTGAATTCTAGGTGTGTGGACGGATTTGAGTAGACAGCTATTTTTTAATGGTTCCCAGATGATTCTGATGCACACCCCCAACTCGCAATGACCTCGCCAACTGCCAGATCACCGCTGACATTGCTAGACCCCCAGGTGGCTGTACACAGTTCTGGTCGTAAGAAAGAGCCTGGTCTCAAGGAAAGAAATATGAGAAATAGGTACCCCAGCACCTCCCAGGGCGGGGCTGCCCGGCTTACTTTTCCTCCACACTCTCTGCACCCAAGGACACCTTCAGCCTCATTTCCTGATCCTACAGCCTCACCTGTGGTACAGCCCGGGGCTGGTGGGGCAGGCAGGAATGCAGCAGACAGGACTCGCTCTGGTGGCCTTGGCTGCCTGTGTGGCTTTTCCCTCCTCAGAAGGTGAGTGGGCGTGTTGGCTATGCAAGCCTCCCGTGGAAAGAGGGGGTGCTGCCTCCCCAAGATGGAGCAGGAAGGAGTGAAGTCCTGGCGGCAATTTGGGGCAGGAAGTTCGATCTCTTCAGGTAGGAATTTCCAGTTATCTATGAGAGACTGGCATAGATTTACATTGCTGATCTTCAAGAAGGATGGAACCTCATTTGAACAGATATTAGTAATTTGTCTCATGGAGGATGAGATCTTTCCACACAACAACTTTGAGCTGTGTTTCTTTTGCTGATGACAGTCTCTTAGAAAATCCCCAGGTAGAGGTTGGAGGAAAATCCCTATTATTCATCCGTCTCCTCCTTCCCCCAACCTGCTACACTGGAGACAAATGTGCATGTTCCTGCAGGAAAGGCAGGCGTCGCCTTCTGGGTTAGGGGTTTGGGAAGCAACAAAGTCAGCCCTGTGGATACTGAAAAGCAAAACTGCAATCTGACCTTTAAGAAGGGATGCGGGATAAAGGAGACTGAACCATACAAATTATATCAAAGAGAACTCAAATTGTGAATTGCTAGCATATATATGGAGATAGTAACTGCATTTGAACCGGAGGCAATCTTTTCTACAGTACTTAGGAAAACCTAAACAGAAGTACTAAATACTTGACTGACTTGACTCTTCCCCACTGTCGTCTTTTCTGAAACTTGACCTTGAATAGATTCTCTAAATCCAGAAGAAGGGTGAAATATAAGTCGTGTCTGATCTGCTTTTGAAAGCATTTGCCAACCCTTAAAAACGGACAGATTTCGTATATACATTCTCACATATACACCCCACTTGTATTTTATTTTTTTTATTTAAAAAAAAATTTTTTTTTATTTCAACGTTTACTTATTTTTAGGACAGAGAGAGACAGAGCACGAACGGGGGAGGGGTAGAGAGAGAGGGAGACACAGAATCGGAAACAGGCTCCAGGCTCTGAGCCATCAGCCCAGAGCCCGACGCGGGGCTTGAACTCCCAGACCGCGAGATCGTGACCTGGCCGAAGTCGGACGCTCAACCGACTGCGCCACCCAGGCGCCTCTACACCCCACTTGTATTTTAAAGCTTCTCTTGGAAAGTCACATCTGGCAACAACGGTCCCATGTCCTCTGGCAGGAATTGGCTAGAGCGCAGTAGCCCCTGTCCTTCTCTGAAGTTGGCTATCGTCCTATTAACTGCCTGGTTCCTGTAGGCATTTGTTTAGGGGACCCGATATAGTGCCCCAATGTACTGGGCTTGTATTACCGAGCATGGAAAGATCTAGATAATCTCTTCTTCATTTCTATCTGGATAATCTCTTCTTCATTTCTATCAATCTATCTATCTTATCAAGACAAAGACACAAGTGTATCATTTTCTATGTTTCTGTAAAAATTTTTCAGAAGAACTCACCATTGAAATTTTAGGATTCACTTTCACTGTTTCTCAAAGGCTTACCTGCTCAGGCTTTATTTCTAGTTTTGGCAATGCACTTTTTTTTTTTTTTTTTTTTTTCACATAAAGCTTTGAAATAAAAGTGTATGTATCTCCCTTCAGCTTCCTGACGTGTTTCCAGCTGCCCCTCAGCAATCACAGCGGCTGTCCTGTGGGAGAGGAGGGAGAGACAGGCAGGCAGAGGCAGGCAGAGGGACAGGGGTGATGAGGGATGCCCCTGCCAGACCCAAGGCCAGACTTCCCACGGGACCGAGTCCTGGCAGAGAAGGTGGGACAGCAGAACACAGAGGTGTTTGAAAAGGGTCCAGTTGGTGACGAAAGAAAGAAAGAGAACTGAGGAGACCCCGCAGGGGCCTTTTGGGTGATTCCCAGGGCTTTTCCTAAGGCAGTTCGGGCCACAGGAAAATCACAGGATCTGGGAAGCGCCCAACCCTCTGCCGTCTAAAAATAAGTGATGTTGGGTTAAAATACGAGAGGGTAGGCCTGAGAGCAGTTGTGGAACCTAGAGGGGTAACCCACTGCTTTCCATAAAAGCCTTCCATGGAGTATCTGTGTGTCCCACGTGCCCTGTGGGAGGCTCTAAGGGACTCAGACCTGGGGGAGGAGCAGGAGAGGAGGGAGGCAGGGAGGTGGGGAATACTGGGAAGTGCAGGGAAGGAGGTTTAAGTGGCTTTGACAATTGTCACAGGCTCCGGGAGGGGATCGGGAAGTGGTCTGTGCCAGTTGGTAACTTTGAGAAATACATTTTGTTCTTCCAGGCACCAATGGTTCCATTGCCTGAATGGTGCCTTAAATGGCCATTTTAATGTTATGGCTCAGTAATTGGCATTCTCAAAGCATTTTGCATGAATCAGGAAGCAGTTGACTTACCTGTAATTAAAAGCCTTGGATTCTACCCAAAGGTAGGAGGGTATATACACCTGCTGACGTGGCTGCTGGCTCCCAGAACTCAAAACCGAGTCCATAAAAATGTCTATCATCCACTCCGGTGGCCCTAAGCCAGATTATTTAAAGCCACAATCTAGGGCTTTGTGGGCTGGCTGTTGTTACTATAGATATTTTCAGACTAAGGCTCCACTTGTCTCTGGCAGATGCAGGGTGAGGCATTTTGCCTCACAGTCCCAAACCGACTTGGTTCTGACAACCCGTTTTCTCACAGCAGGATGGTTCCTCCTCACACAGGCACTTGCTGGGGACTTGTCGTCTGCATCCTAAAAAGACATTTTGTTTTCTGTTTGTTTTAATTATAGGGCACTCCCTAGGGAGGATTACCAAGAATGTACATTTGTGCTTGAGGGGCGCCTGGGTGGCTCAGTGAGTTAAGCGTCCTACTTCAGCCCAGGTCATGATCTCACGGCTCGTGGGTTTGAGCCCCACGTCGGGCTCCGTGCTGACGGCTCAGAGCCTGGAGCTGCTTCGGTCTGTGTCTTCCTCTCTCTCTGTGCCTTCCCGCTCTCTCTCTCTCTCTCTCTCTCAAAAATAAATAAGCATTAAAAAACAAAGAATATGCATTTGGGCTTGAAAGTTGTTCTGCACAGTCAGGACCCTCCACTTCCCCAGGAGTGGTCCCTGAGGGGCCTGACATGGGGGCCACCAACCTGTTCTTCGATTTCTCTCCAGGTATACCCTTCTGTTAAAACAACACACCCCGCTTTCCTTAAATTCAATACCATTGTTAGACTAAGCGTCTAGATTTTGGTTAAGGAACCCAGTCATAGTATTTATACTGTAGTTCGGGGTTTTTTTTTAATGTCCTTTTTCTGTGTCTGGAGAAACAGAATAATATAAGAGCAGCCTTCTCAAATCTGAATCATACATGGGCCCCTTTACAGGAAAACATTCTTTTTACTCTCAGTGGTAACCTTTAATTATTTTACTATGTTACTTGGTATATAAACATGAAACCAGTTATAAACCCCCTGTGTGTATATCTTTTCTGCAATTTTAAAACCAAAATAAAATTTAAATTTAAATAAAAACACAACTGCAAAGCCGAGAAGAGTTCAATCGAACAATATTAATTTAAAGTAATGGTTTAAAGTAATGGTTAATATTTGGCCAAAAGTACCATCACCATTCCAAACACAAATATAGCACTGATCCTTAAGATGCAGATTTTGAGTTTTATGTGCATTTGCTAGCATGTTCAGAACGAGAAGTGTTTTCTCCCCACCACTTTTTTGTTTGAGCCAGGATGATATAACTGAGCCCTCCCTTAGCATGAATGCATTAGAAAATTCCACTCTGTTCCTTTCTGACTGGCCTAGGACAATTAAGGTAGGATGTGACCTGATAATAGCACTAGGCATAAACATAAGCAAAATTCAAATGTCCTGAAAGTGCTCTTTTAAGATAGTCTTCCAGAAGATCCAGAACATGTCTATTTAAATATTATGATCGAGACGACATATTAAAATTTAGGAATTGTCTGGAGAGCTCATAAACCCTGAGAACACGCTCATGAGCCCCCTGCTATGAAACCTTGTTTGAGAAATGCGGCAAGCCTGGGAAGAGTCTCTTTGGATTCCAAAAGGTCAAGTCAGAATTCTAACTACATGAACTTGAGAAATTGTCTAACATTCTGAACCCCAGTTTTCTTAACAGTAAAACAGGAATAACAATGCCTCTCTTACCTAGTTATTCTCAGGATTATATGAGATAACAAGGAAAGTGTTGGGCATAGAATAGAAGAGGTGCTCAATAATTGTTAGTTTCCTTTCCTTTCCTTTCCTTTGGCCAGGTTCTATCACTAACTTTTTTTTTAAGTTTATACATTTATTTTGAGAGAGAGAGAGACAGAGCACAAGTGGTGAAGGGGCAGAGAGAGAGAATCCCAAGCAAGCTTCGCACCATCAGCGCAGAGCCCAATGAGGGGGCTTGAACCCACGAACTGTGAGTTCATGACCTGAGCCAAAACCAAGAGTCAGATGCTTAACCGACCCAGCCACCCAGGCATCGCTATCACTAACTTTTTAAATTAAAATTATGAGGGGCACCTGGTTGGCTTAGTCAGTTAAGCGTCCAACTTCAGCTCAGGTCATGATCTTGCATTTTGTGGGTTCCAGCCCCATTTTGGGCTCTGTGCTGATAGCTCAGAGCCTGGAGCCTGCTTCGGATTCTGTGTCTCACAGCCCCTCTCCACCCCTCCCCACCCCCGCCTGCTTGCACTCTGTCTGTCTCTCTCTCTCTCTCTCTCTCAAAAATAAACATTAAAAAGTTTCTAAAATTAATTAATCAATTTAAATTATGGAAAGTCACAAAAATCAAATAATTGAATTCCTAAAATTATAAAAATTATAAAATAACAAATACTCGGGGTACCTGGGTGGCTCAGTCAGTTAAGCCTCTGACTTTGGCTCAGGTCATGATCTCACAGTGAGTTTGAGCCCCGCATTGCACTCTGTACTGAGCGTGGAGCCTGGAGCCTGGAGACCGCTTCCTGTTCTGTGTCTCCCTCTCTCTGCCCCTCCCCTGCTCATGCTCTGTCTCTGTCTCTGTTTCTCTCTCAAAAATAAATAAACACTAAATTTTTTTAAAAATGTAACAAACACTCAGTGTAAATTTTTAAAATATAGAATAAAATATATTAAGTTCCCTTTTCTCTATTCCTTTCATCCCTCTTCCCCATCCAGAGGTAATAAATAACCCCTCTGGGTTCTGTGTATCCTTCCAGAACTTTCTCTATGCATTTACAAATATGAACTCACACACATTCACACAGATTTTTAAAAACATAAAAAGGACAACAATCTACACATTACCTAATTTTTCTTTCACTTAATCATAGATAACAGTATAGCTGTTTCACACACACAGGCATTTGTTAAAAGTTTGGATCATTCATCTTAGAGACAACATACAAACTTCCAGGAATAATTTAGAACATTGAAGTCTCATTTATTCATTCATTATCAGTCAGAGTCCAATTAAGAGACAAAAACAAGACATGAATTTGAACAGGGAAAGTTTAATATAACAAATTATTAGCTATAACAAGAGATAGGCTAGAAGGAGGCACACAGAACCCTGAAGAATACAGGGCTTTTGAGGGAAGAGATCTCATTACCCCTTCCCTGCCCAGCTGAGATTCAGACCTTGTTAGAGAGGGCACAGCCATGGCTCACCGAGTGGCAGGAAAATCACTGGTCTGCCTTCCAGTTTGCAGGAGCAAGTTCTTCACAGGGAGGTGTCTCACTGGAGACACTCTGCCCCAAACTGCCCCGAGTTGGGGGTGCTGTTGGCTGTCATGTGCTCCCAGAGCCTGGTGCTGCAGAAATGATAGGGGCGCACCCTGGAACCTGGAAGGAAACCCCTCTTGCTGCAATGCCTTTCCAGTGTCCTCCACTGACAAAGGTTTAACATCGTGCCTGCCCGTGAAGGAAAAATATTTAAAGGGCCCATCTTAATTCCCTAGAACTGGCCATTAAGGGTGAATTTGAAGCTGAGGGGCAGTAAATGGACAGTGGGCGCATTCCACAAACTTAATATTGACACCTGGATGCCTACTGTGGGGCAGGTGATGTGATTTTGTTTCTAACTATTGAGTGTTTACTATTTGTCAGCCTGGTTTTTTTTTTTTTTTTTTTTTTAATAAATGGTTATTCATTTTTGAGAGAGAGAGAGAGAGAGAGAGCAATTGGGGGAGGAGAGGGAGAAAGACAGAATCCCAAGCAGGCTCCGTGCTGCCAGCACAGAGCCTGACAAGGGGCTTGAACTCACGAGCCATGAGAGCATGACCTGAACTGAAGTCGGACACTCAACCAACTGAACCACCAGGTGCCCCTGTCAGCTTGTTCTAAGCACTTAATGCATAAACTCAAGCAGTCGTCACAACACCCCTGTGAAGAAGGTGCTATTACCATCCTCATATTACAGATAAAGAAACTGAAACAAAGAGAATGAAGTAACTCATCCAACATAAGCTTGTAAGTGATAAAGCCAGGAGTCGAGCCTGGTTGTTTGTCTCTGTATGCTTAACCACTGTGCAGTAATGCCTTTCAGCATGTCCCTATGGCACAAAATTATCCTGATCCCCTTCAGGAATATTCCCTGACCGGTCCAAGTGTCCATGCTGTGAGAAGCATTAGTGACCAAATGTCTTCATATGAAGGTAAAGAAAAAGCCTCATTCACTCTTTACATTATCCCAGGGTTCCAAAAATATCTGGGAGGATTTTATTTGGGAGGATATTATTTGGGCATAGTAATCTCATGCCTCATTGCTTGGTGAGTCCTTCCCACCTCCTCGATGTTAGCAGTGGACACCTCCATTTGTGGTTATATCCACAATGTGATGTGGCTCCATTAAGGCGTGAAGTCCACTAGAATAGGGAAACGTATCCTTAACCAAACACATACATGTTTATTTACATATTGCTCTTCTTAAATTGTACTCACAAACTTGAGACAAACTGACAGCAGGCAAATGAATCTTATTGTTTTTATCTTTATCCTAGGAATCCTTTCCCCAACAGTGGCATAGCATTTGCTTTGTTTCCACTTTACTGTGTTCTATAAAGTGTTCTTTATACATGTGTTTTGCAAACTGCTTTCTTTCTTTTTTTAATGTTTATTTTTGAGAGAGACAGAGACAGAATGTGAGTAGGGGAGGGGCAGAGAGAGCAGGAGACACAGAATCTGAAGCAGGCTCCAGGTTCTGAGCTGTCAGCACAGAACCCAACACGGGGCTCAAACTCACAAACCATGAGATCACAACCTGAGCCGAAGTCCGACTCTTAACCGACTGACCCACACAGGCACCCCGCAAACTGCATTTCTAATAAGCCGCCGAGTGATGCCATTCCTGCAGCTCTGGGAACCACATTTTGAGTGGCAAGAGACTATACGATACATCCAAGTAAGAGAGGAGGCTGGTTCATCTCTCTGTAATAACAGAATCATTTCCTTAAAAACCAGAATCTAACTTTCACATCACAGATTTGATGTGAAGTGTTTTAGTGTTCATCTGAACAGATCTTGGGCAGGAAATCTTTAAAGCCTTGGTCCAAAATTGGATCATAGGCAGAACCAAATCAGGGACAGACAATCGTGGCACATCACCCACCCAACTCTCTGACACTTAATACTGGAAACATTACAACAACAACAAAACCCCAAACCAACAGAATCGAGAGCGATAACACTTTAATAGTAAGACAAATAGTAAGACTTTTAATGAGACACTGATATCTTTAAATTATTAAATATAATGGGGCAAGTGATTTATCATCATGAGTTGACCCCTAATTACTTGAGGGTGTAGGGATGAAGTTTCTAAAAGCATTGTGTAATTTAAGGACATTTGGGACATAAGACCTTGACCAAACACTGATAATCTTACTTCCTAAAAAAAAAAAAAAAAAAAAAAAAAAAAAA